AGCAAGCAGAGGTTAGAGCGCTTTGACAAGCAATTTTTCCGAAATCGCTGCTCAGCATCTTGCGAGCCAAAATGCCGAAAGTGCTCAGGAAGGGAGTATTTGGCAATATAAAATTGAAATCAAATAAATTAATGCTTTTGTTCCAATGCAAAATAATATTACTTTTTAAGATTGCTATAAATATTCATATTTTAACATTTGTAATACATATGTATATTAAAAAAAAAATATATATATATATATACATATATTTGAAAAAAAAAAATGGTTTTCTTTAATCTCGTTTGTGTTTATAAATTTTCTGTTTAATAAAATTGCACGCACGTTACAACGCAAACTAGTGGCAAAGATAGTCTGAGATATTTATAAATTATTAAATAGTTGGTAATCCGTTTAGATTAGTTGCTCGATTGAAAACTTAATACTATATATTCACTCCACTGACAAAAGCTTTAAAGTAAGAGTTTTACGCGGAATTCTCATGAACAAGCATGGTTAATTACAATATGCTGTATTAAATGTGTTTTGGGTAATTCTGATAAGTAAATAAAGTCTACGCTAGATGCCTTTGTGTTACATACTTATATATTTATACCCTGAACATGGTATATTAAGTTTGTCACGAAGTTTGTAACACCCAAAAGGATACGTCTGAGACCCTTAAAATATAAAATATATGTCCGTCTTTCTGTATACATACAAACTATTAGTCCCTCAGTTTCTGGTTTTTTATGATTTTAGGTGAACGAATTCTGCTTCTACAATTTTTAAGCTTGTAAAATCGACTTTTGATGAGATCTTTATTGTAAAAATTTTATGGTTAGTGAATTTAATCTTAAGGTTCTTTGATTAGGTAGGCTCATCATAAAATAGGTTGTGCGGGTGTTGTGCTAAAAAATTTTCAAAATTTTAGTTTTTTTAATGTTATAGATATGACTATAGTATATAAATAATTAAAAAATGTCTGTGTGATTGAAGCATGATTAAATTGAAAGATATTCCATCTGAATCGTGAGTCAGACTCTGCCACAAACAATGCCATTGTTTCTAACCCGTAAAGCTTTTCTATATGAAACTGAGTACGCATAGAATATACTGTTATTGCTCCTTTCATAATTTTATTCATTTGTCTACCGCTAATTATCATCAAGACTGCTACAACTGTCGAAGGTCTCGTATCTTTATTCTACGAGTATATCTGGTAAGACGAAAATATATGCCGTCAATAAGTTCTGTTCTGTTGGCCTACTTAACATATTTGACTTCGTGCTTGAGATAGAACCGATTTGCAAAGTTCAGAATCATGCAGTTATCCCGACAAATTTGTCTTCTAAAGTCTCTGCAAAGTTATTTCGTATCGTTCATGAATTTTCCAACAAGCATGACATCCTAGTTCTTATCTACATTTTTTAAGTGTTTTATTTTTCATTTTCATACGGCGGCACAACATTTTAACTTAATGAAAAAATAAAATTTGTCATTTAAAATTGCTAAATGATGCCTTAGTTACTCATATTAATATCGCGCATTACAAAAACAAGCGTAATCGTTGTTGTATTTGATTTGCTGTATCATTGACTCACTTATTCACGCTTTCTATTTTTATCGCATATAAAAATATCTAGAATCAAATTTTCCTTCCCAACCGACTTGCCCCATCTAAAGAACTTCATAATTGTATTGTACGATTTCATTTAGGCGCTTCGCGCTAATTTGTTCGCAATTCCTTTTCATTGCTCTATTCTCTCAGCTGCCAATTCCAAGTACTTGCTCGCTTTGTGCTAATTTGATTGGCACAAGCGATAAAATTGCTTAATGTAGTAGCGGCGCGTGACTATGGCAACGAATATTGAATAATTATGTGCCACTGACAGTGTTTTGATTGTCTGCTCGTCAGTGCACACACGCATGCATATATCCAGTAGCACACACACTCACATTTACTACTGGTATGTATTGTGACTTCGCTTCAGCTCATGGAGTTGTTTTTAAGTTGTTGTAACACCAACAACTGACAGCCGCTTTCAACGTTACTGACAGCTTTGAGGTCATCCTCATCGCTCTTATCGCTTCTTGCCACAACACACACACACGGACATACACATACATGCGAACTGTGGCAGCCATCGATGATTGCTTCGCGCTGTTGCTGCCGTTGTTTGCCTGCCTCGTCATTATTCTTTCATTATTTGTTGCTGTTTCTCTTACTCACTTTATCGTTGCACCCATTTTGCATCTAGCGATTGTTGATGTTGTGTCTTGGTATGCGAAAACGATGACAATGATGTTATTGACCCTATTTCTTTGGTCTTCAGTGCACTTGATTTTCAGCAGAAAGTAGGAATTGAGGATATCTAGCATTAAGAATACGGTCGCGCTGCTAAATAGGTAAACTTAATAAAAACAAAAAAACTTGAAAAAAATGTATATGATATTTTTGAAGAAATAAATATTTGTGTAACTTTTAAGATAAGTTTGTCTTCTCTTAAAAAAAAAAATTACCAAAACATTCCTGGCATCCATTTATCTGCGCCTTTTTGCGCTTTCCCATTTTGCTTAACCGCCGGTAATTAATTACACTTGTGCAACTGGAAACACTCAGTACTAAAAGTATGCAGAAATGCCTTAAAAGTGCTCTGCCTCCTCCTCTGCTGGCGAGCAATGAAAAATGCCACTTATGTTAGTTTAACTTTTCCCTCGTCAATGCGGTGGTTTACCAACTTTTCGGTCAGTTCTGGCTCGACTGGAGAAAAAACAAAAAGCGGCAAATACTTTTAAGTGCAATTCATTTGGCTTAAGTTGCGTAACTGTAATTAACCTCGGCACTCTTATAAATACAAATTTATTTATATTTTCAAGCATTTTTAGAGTGCTGGTATGTGGTGGAGGCTGTGGTTAGTTTTAAAACGTGTAAACATGTATATGTATATGTGTGGAGCTAGCGTGGTTAGAGTTGTGTAGAGAGCTCTTAACATTGGTACATAAGTTCTACTTCAAGTGAAACAATGAAATATATTATTTTTTTAAAATATTTGGTTACATTTATGCTCGGTGATTTTAGTCTAAAAATTATTAGTTTTAAAAATACAAATCTATGTAAATATTTTTCAGATATATCAAGCTTTTATATTTTATATAGCATATATATGTATATCTTATCGAAAATATTTAATTCACCAAAAGAAAGAAAATATACTCATTTATCCTAGTAGCTAGCTAGTAATATATATATCGCTTACAGAAATTATTTTACTTTACAATAAAATATATGTAGACATTAGCTACAAAAACCAGTCTATGCTAGAAGTTGTTTCAGTATGCAAATTTCTCCAAATATATTAAAAATTATAAAGAATTATACCGCTATATGTACATATTACTCAGCGCATACAAGTGCTGTACAAAATTGTTACTTATATGAATGTATGAATTATAAATATGTTACTTATACGCAGTGTGGCTGCGTCGAATATTTGTTTGGTTTGGTAAAGAGGCATTAAGGATTTACATAATTCTAATGTATTAATTTTTGTTACCGGAAAATAATTATCAAATCAAAATTATTTTCAAGCGAATTTATTACCGGTTATATTAAATGTCTATGCAAATTATTTTCCTGCGTATTGAAACCAAATGTTTGCTGTGCAGGGATTGACCGTAGATATGCCGTTTGCAGTGTAGAATTCCATGAACATAAAATATTTTTATCAATTTAGACTTTCAGCAAAATTTCTTAAGTTTCTGTCCAAAACTCAGAATTTTATATAATTTTTTTTTGTATGGAAGGATAAAACGCCACTGGATAGTTAATTTTCAGTAAAAAATTTAATAATTGAAATTCGAATAAGGTATTTAAGAGGGCGGTGATTAATAGACGAAGAACAAAAGCCACTCCTGAAGTTTTCACAACTTCAACTACCACAAGTCAAACTAGTATACCAAACTCAAATAAAATACAACTAAATTTACTACAAATTAGACTACCACGTGTAAATTAACCATACCTAAGTTACCAGCTATGAACTCATCACATACACATAATGTATATTAAGTTTTGGAATACATATAGCAGATATCATAAAAATTTAAAAGCAGTAAAATTGTATACTGTTGATGTTGCAATTGCTTCAAAATGAGTAAACTCACTAGACTGAACCTTTTAGTTCTCTGGCTGGTAATCATAAAAAGAATTACGCATTAATTGGTTTGTTGGTTGAGAAGGGAGGTTGAAAGCATGCGTGATCGTAAACGATATTATTCGGCAATAATATTGTAGTACTTACCCGTTATTTTTCTAACAGTACGCCTAAGTATCTACCAAACTACCAATAAATAAGTTTAAAGTCAATTTCTAAACTGTGCCACACAGCAACTTGTCATCACTTATTTATTGGCCGCCCACAGCCTTCTGTGGACAAATAAAAATAAATTCAAATACATAAATAAGTCAATAATATTTATGACACTTCCAAAAGTCATAATCCTTCCAGTGCCCACAACGGCAATACATCATTCAAACTCCACACTGTAAAAACAAAAGCTAACTGTATGAAACTACTATAGATATGTATAAAAACATTGGTGAGGGATGTCATAAGTCGCATGTGGCGGGGGATGGCGGAGTTGGTGTGCATGACACCGAAAAATATGAAAACGGAAAAAACATGCAAATGTGCAGACAGTGAATTTTATTTATGCTTATGGAAAGCACATACTATATTCTCCTTACACTGGCTCTTTTGTTGCGCATTTGTAAGGAGTTTGCCTGAACTTCAGTACTAATATGATCTATGCATAATCTGTTTCTTTTTTATTTATATTATTTTGGTTTGATTTGCAGTAGCAAAATTTTCTTTTTTCTGCAAAGCCTTTTAATTTCGATTTTCTTCGAATGCAATGCAACAGGATAATTACGCTTTGCATGAGACATTTTCGCTGCCCGTAATCCCTCTCTACAATCCTCAATGCAAATACTTTCAGTAATAATCTCACTCTAACTGTGAGTTTCTTTTTAAATGTCATCTATGCAAGCGTTTTACTGTCACTTCTTTCATTACGTTTTTGTTCAATTTAAAAAAGATAAGCAGTAAATAAAAGCAGCTAAGCGGAAGTGAAAATGAGTGAGTGCAATTCAGAAGCTTATTGGATTGGCGATTTTCCGTTTGTAGGTATGACCCTTTGCCACAAAGTACACCTTATCCCGTCTGAGGCAGGCTAAATACAATAAATGCTGGTGGAAAACAACGCAAACAGGCAAACGAAGTGATTCAACATTTTTATGGCGCAAGAAAAACATTTTGTTTTATATATATTTATATAACTTCTCTTTATTTCGTGTGCAGTATGAGATGCCACCGATCCAACGAAGGCAGTGTTATGACAACACTCGAGAGCAGAAATGCGGTTAAATCACTCTTACACCTTCCATTCGTGATTCTACTTTCGTTTTGCTTTTCCATATCTGTTTCATCGTTCTGTTTTTGTATTTTTCGCACATCAACGGCACATTGAATAACAACAATAACAGTATCAAGCAAATAATTTAATGCAATGAAAGCTGCATAAAGAAGCAGAGGTCCAAATGCGAGTCAAGGCGATGAAGTAAATAGGTGTTAAAGAGAACGGAAATAAAAATGTGAAATGTGCGGAGTGAAGCTGCACAGTGGTTCCTGAAATGTAAATTCGTAAGCAAAAATATTTTATGATATTTACAATACATTTTCGTTAGAAAAAATAAAAGGTTCAATAAACCTGCGTCGGAGTATGTCTCCGCCTCAAAGTTTAGAGCTTTGCAGTTATTCTCTAAGAACAGAATTAGTGAGATTTGTTTTTTTTATATAGAAGTAAGACATCATCCCATACAATAAATTTATCAACCACTTTTATAATTAATGTAATATTAGTTTCCCAAATGAAGATTCCATATAAGTCTTAAGGTATAGAAAATCATTATTATTTGATGATAATGCTATAAATACATGCATACATCGAAGTTCAGCGGCCTTTAATATCTTAAATTAGCGGCGTATATTTGATTTTACCCTTTGTAATCAATCTTTTGTGAAAGAAATTGCTCCTTTAGTAAAAGCTTTTAAAAAAAAAATTTTTCTGTAATTTTATTTCATATGGGAAAATTCTTCAAAATTTTTACAATCGAAATAAGTAATAAAAATATGATCTCTATAAAAATTTCCTGATCACAACCACTGCTCATCCCCATATTTTCTTAACTCTCTTATAATGAGAACGAAAGGTTATCAAAGTTGAATAGTGATAAATAAATGACTGCGGCGTTAACAAAAATAGTTAATTTTTTGCTGAGATTTTCGACGAAAAATTAATGCGAATTCGGCACTTATTATTAGCAAAGTCATTCGATTTTTATATTCTATATTCTGTATAGTCAACAAATTATTTGAAAATAACAACTTTAGAAAAAGAAGAAAATTATTAAAAAATAAAGATTTGACCACTCCATTTTTACATTTCGTATTTTAATCCTTTTAATTGGACTAAAGTACGCGATTCATTCCCAAAAATTAGCTGTCAAAAAATAAGCTCTGCAACTTAATGAAGAACGCTATGTATCTCGCAGTGAAATAAGTTAATTACTGTCTAATTTAGAGCGAACATGCTGAGGCAGTAAAAGAAGGAAGTAGAAATAATACACACATACATACATGTACACGCCCGTACCGTAAGATATGATGCATGTGTGCCTTAAAATATGTGGTTTTACATCATACTTGCTGAGAATATATAAACATAAATGCATATAAAAACAAAGAGAAAAAGCAGCCTGACAAAAAATGCAGCAGTAGGTGCAACATGCCTAACAAAAATGCCGGTATGTTCATATACGAGTATATGTGTGTAGAAGTTGGAAGCGAGCAGCTGTGCGCTATTCTACAAAAAAAGTGTTCTTCAGTACAAAGGAGGCGGACTTAATGAGGTCAATGCAAGGAATGTGGACGTTGCTGGAAGGCAGAAAGGTCTCTTCAGACAGAAGTAATAAAAGGAAGCTAAATTAGGGTTGTTCTCATGACGAAGAGTAAAATAAAATAAATTTAACTACCTCTTAGGCTACTAAGACTTGAATTCTTATAATTTTTAGGTATTCTTTCCATAGTGTTTATTTAATTGAAGCTGCAATATCAAAAAATAAAAATCAGGAGTTTTGAAAAATTACTGAAAACGTCGCTTTGTAAATTTAAGGTTCATGCTATAGTATTGTAATATAAGCTCTTACAAATACAAAGCCAAATTGTTCCGAACTGAAAAAATAACTAATGATATTAACGAAAATCTATCGGCCTGTAAATATGAATGCATTGAAGGACACTCCTAGCACAACTACCGAATGTTTTCTAGATGGAAAAAACAAAACATGAATTTCACAAATTCTTTTACTCCATACTTCTTAAATATATTCTAACCAACATACATACAAAACCGCCGCTTAGTAGTCTTGCTGGCCTAACAAGGAAAGACGCCAGCATGTCCTGGCGAAGGACAAAGCCATTAAATGAGCCCAGCAATGCGACAGCAGCGAATAATGTTGATAGTGGCGCGCCAAACAAAAAAGCGCTCGCTGGCAAAATCAAAACCAACTAAAACGCGAAACAACTCTTGCGGCTGGAAATAGTTAACGTGGCTGTCAAATGCAGAATTGCGCCGGCGAAATGTGACGCGGCATGGCGGCGATGCTGGCGAGGCACGAGAGAGGCCGCACAAAACACACGGCGTGCTTGTAGTGCAATTTCATACAAATAACGGTATTGCTAACGAATTGTACACACAATATATGCATGCACTTATGTATATAGAATCTGTGTTCACATAAAAGCTCTGCAGCAAAAATGGTGGAGCATTATAATGGAATGTAAAAAGTATGGACAGTGAAAGCGTGAAAAGAACAATTAAAGTATAACTGACACAAAAAGGCGAGAGAGAGGGTTATATACGCGTATATTACATAAGGTTGGTTTGTTTAATTATACGATATGATTTACGAAAGTGAAAAACAAAACATGAAAAAGTATTTTTTTTTTAAATTAAAATTAATTAGCCAAAGTAACTAGTAATTCCTAAAGATTTCAACTCATCATAACCTCAAAACCGTGTGGAATCTTAAAACCGTCTCTAATCTTCGTCTGGGAGAGATAAGCTCCAAACTCCCGAGGCTGCTACATTTTGCAAAGGGTATTTTAACTACGAACCATGGTGTTTTGAGTTAAAAAGTGCTTTCTTAAAAATGAAAGATTTCTATTTCAATATTTGCGATGGAACCTTATACTTATCACTACTACTTTAACTACCGAAAACCCCGTGATTTAAATGTATATATGTATGCTTGGGGATGCCACAGTATAAACATACATACAAGTATATTCTTTCGAGCAGTCCGCTTCAAAGGCTTTGATAAGGGCGTCAAAGCGTTCGAGCGCAAACAATGCAGCAATAAAATTAACACTTTTTGTGCAGCGCTTTTATTACTCCCTTCATCATTTGCATTTGCGGCATGCACCTTTCCCTTTCTTTTCTCACCTTGTTATCTCTGTATAATTATTGTTTAGGTAAATAACAGAAACTACGAACAAAAGCATCGCTCGCGCAGGTGACAGCGAGGAAATATTTGCCAACGCTTTGGGAAATTAGCGCATCGTGAAAGTCTACCGGTTGTTGTTGTTATATATACATTGTGTGTGTACAGCGTTTTTGTGACAGCGTTATCTCTGTTTGCACTTACTTTCATTGTTTGGCTGGTCGTTAAAGCCCTCTGGCCGATATGCAAATTTCGGGCGCCCGAATGCCCCACAGGAAGAAAAAAATTTATTAAAATGGGTGTACAAAATGGAAAGTAGAACAAAGAACATTAGATTGTCGTGTGGCTATTGTGGCATAATGACACGCTGGCAGGGAGATAAGCAAGAGAAGTGGAGCGATGGTTAAAGAGATTTAAAGTGCTAAAGCTTATGGATCAAATATGTCTGGATATGTCTGTAATTTTCAGGAAAACTAAAAACTTTTGATTTCCTTGACTAATAGAGAATATTGCTGTTTCTTTACGAAACCATTTGAAATTTGAAATTATTAAAACTAAAAGTTTCCTAGCTGTCAATGTGCCCAGTCGGAGCAAATGTTTCAATTTCCGCAATTTTATCACACATTAGCACTTTGCCAGTTTTTTGTGGAGTGTCAAATATTTCCGCTATCAAATTGACATTTCGGAACAATGAAACGTAATACAGTAAAAAAGCAGAAAAATCAAATAGCTTTTCTAATCTTCGCCTGCAAGGTAAAGAAGAAATGACGAAAAGCGCAACCATAAGCTGTCCAGCTAAAGAGTGACCAGAGCAAAAGTTGCCTGCATTTTCGCAAAGCTTACGAACAGCAGTTGTGGCGAATAAAATGCCGTTACTTTGTCATAAACTCATATAATGTGTGCACATTTAATGTGCATACTCGTGTGTATGGACTCGTTGTGACCACTGCACAAAAAACGATCGTTTATCGTGCGCTTCGCCCTTATTGCTTGCGCTCGTCGTCCTCGCTTGAGTTTCACATCCGTTGCTCGTTGTACGTCTAATGCAATTTTCCTTCCGTTTTTGCTGGCAGTTGCCTTTTCTTGCTGGAATGTCAAAATGGCAACACAAGTGAAATATCATATGTCATACATATGTGAGACGTTCGGTGATTTCTTTAAAGTTTGCCATTTTGGAGCACGTAGTTTTTGATTACGCGTTTAGGGTAAATCTAAAGAAGAGAAAAATTATTAAATGACTGCTTTTTACCTACAAAAACTGGCAATATTTTATACGCATACATGCATGAGCGAGTAAAATATTTTGTTAAAATGGCATTTCTATTAATAAATGAAGGTTTGCCTTAATCTTAAAATAAAGGCTACTTAAAATTCGTCATTACACACACTTTTTAAACCTCTAGTTTTTCCAACAAGATTCCATCTTGCTTTTACTTGACAATTGGGATGGGTTAATATTATAAAAACTGGTTTGAAGCGTAAAAAATATGGAAAAACGCTGCATGTTATTTCAATGATCTTCGTAACAACTTTGTTTGTAAGTTAACAGTCAATAAGTTCCAAAGAAAAATAGCGAACGAAAGTGGAAATTATAGAGGATGTTACCTCGACGTACTGTTTGTTGTCCGTTTGGCGCATTATGCACCAAATTGTGTGCTTTTGTAATTTAGTTCCCGCTTTCCCCCCTTCCTTCTCCATCTTGTTTAGGGCTTTGGAGAACGACTATTGTACTTAATGCAGTGGGGGAACAAATATAATTATTTTTCTGCACTGACCAAATTCTATTTCAGTATTTAAGTTTGTTTACATTTAAGTTCGTTTATATTCAATGACAAATACGAGTTATGTGTTATAAAAAGAAAAATAATTATATTTGTTTCGCAACTGCATTAAGTAGTCGTTCATTAAAGTCCTAAAAGTTTCGTGCTCACGACCTATTCTCTCATTTAAAAGACTCTGAATTTAATTTTTTAATTGATAATTTAATTTTTTTTAAAAAAGACAACTTGCTTATTTGTAATTTTCACATAAATTTTGAGTTTATGTTAAAAAAGTTTGTAAACAAAAGTTATATACATTTTCAATACCTACAATATTGCCATATCACTTTTTTCTATAGGATCCGTACTTTTCTCGGAAATTGCGGTAAACCATTCTTAACCCTTAAAAATTCAACAATCATTATTTTTCTCCTAATGTTTGTTATTTCATCTTTCGTTTCCGACGGGTTTCAA